GTCCCGCCTGCTCTTATCCAAATGACAGGAAAGCGAACTTTTGCCAAGCTTGCTGTAAACCTATGTCTCGTGAACCAATGCAAGGGCCCGTCTAAATGCCGACGTGCCCTTCATCAACAAGCGTTTTACAGAATTCCAAGAATCGTACAGGAACAAACCTTATGAACGCCAAAAGGTTTCGTTAAAGTTCAGCTATTGAGAAAGAAAGTTTCTGCTGTGACAGCGGAAGACATCATGAAGTTTTTGATTAGCAAGGATGCCGCAGGAAAAAAAAAGTCCATGTACGCTCATGCTCTAGTAAGACCTGTGGTTTCCCTAAGCGTCTGGCGGCGGGAACTATCAATTCAGAGATATAACATTCTTTGTTCTTGACAAAGTAAAATCGAGGGTTGTCTAATACTGTCAACATGATACGAGTGGAGAGACACAGTTGTTGGGTGGACAAATGCATCTCATTAAGGGAACTTAGAAATTTTGTTGCTTGTCATGTTAGCAAGAGACCCCGTGTAAGGGTAGTCGAGTCATACGAGTCGTACAACTGGAGAAAGTGCTTGTCCACCCAATAGAATAAACTGTGAGGAAATTATTTGAGTGCCGAAATAAAGTATCCACCACACGGTGCTGATGAAGCCGCTGGTGTTCCTGAATTGTTGTACAGATCACTCGACGATCAAATGTGGCAAACAACAACTTCAGTTTGGGGGAAAAACTCTCCGCAAAGCTTGAGTGAAGCCGAAAACTGCTTTGGGGAGAAACACTTGAAACGTAAATTGAGAGTTGTATCTGGTTGCAGGTGTTAAATAGCACAGAATCATTATCAGAAAGAGAGAGATCTCACCTTGAATCGCACCCAACAAGACAGAAAGAAAAAACCAAGAAGCACATAGCAAGTAAAACTACTTTTACGACAGATGATATGTCAAAAAGGTGTGCAACACCATCACTGTTGATTGTTCACCTTCGCATCGACGATATCTTCCGACTGTGAAAGACATCAGTTTTGAAACACAGTAGACACTTTATTGTTCCCATTAGGAAATCAATGTTGAAATCACTTGTGTCTCGTGAGACATTTTTCGTTCGTTCCCAAAAGGGAAAAAAGTGTGTCTCAAAGGACATTTTCTGTTCACCCACCACGATAGTTGACGAAAACAACAAGCATCGGTGTTGGCAGTGTCCATCAAATCCCGAGCACTTTCTGAAGGTTAGTACTACTTACACTCACTCTTACAAAGTGCCAGCATAGTGCCTACTACTACTACAAGTGTAGTACTGTTTACCTCAGATGGGATGTATAAAAAGTATCAATGGCTGGCTTAAACGTCACCAGACTTGTTGGCAGATTTTGTAAAGTAAACTTGTCAAACAAAAAATTCGGCTTGATTTTTCATTTTGGCCTCCCTTTTAGTCAAAGAAATCCAACCTTTTACAATGTGTTAATTGGCCAATCTACTGTGATCAAGAGCCATTATTACTCCTCACTCATCGAAGATGATTGCTATCATTTGGGTGCACATATAAGGCTATTAACTCGATGTCAGTTTTGTTTCACTCTTGAGCTAGCTGTTTGCAAATTATTTTTCTTTAAAATCAGTTAGACTTTCCCTCAAAAGTCACATGAATGTGTTTGATTTAAAATTATAAATTTATTAATGGGTGCCTCGCTTTTACCCTGGCTAAATCTAAATATTAGAAGAGTAGTGGAAGCCTGTGGGTTCAGTCAAGACTGGCAAAAGGGTATTGCTGGGTAGATGAAGGTGGGAGCCAGTTTTTAGGTTGAGAATGGGATCTGTAATGTAGCATACCTGGAAAACACTAGACATGATAAACATATAATTCAAGTTATTATTCAAGTTATTATTCTTTCTATTCTAATTATTTTTCCGGTCAGAAGAGAGACGTCACGATTATGCTTATATTTCCTTGGAAGTAAGTCCCAAATTTATTTTTAGCCCTGATAACTGGATAACTTTCTACATCATCCAAAACAGCAAAACCCACTGACAAGATCCACTCCATCAGGATTCAAGAATGCACACAACACTATTGAGTTCAACATCTCCAAAGAGCAAACGTCTGACATTTTAATATTTGGGAACCATGACAGTGGTTTGAACTGTGGACTTCACTTAAGACTGACAAAAGGGCACTGCTGGGAGATGAAGGTAAAGAGCAAATCTTTAGCTCGAAATTATCCCCCTCCCTTAAACAATATATGCCCAATCATGTAATTCCCAACCTGCCATTAAGTTGGATACATCAGGAAAGATTGTACACGTGTACATGTACACTGTATAACGTTTAGCCTCAGCTGTTCAGAAATAAATTTCTGAGCTGGAGTAGATTTTCATCTTGATTGTCATGCAGCAAATGGAACCTGGTAAGAAACCAGTCCAATATTAAGACGGTCATGAGTTGGCCCTTTGCAGGCATCTAATACCAGAAAAAATGGATCAACAGTGCAGCATGTGGGGAATACACAAGGCATGATAGATAGATGATATAATTTTTCCAAATTGTGGCAACACAAAAAAATAGATTCCAGAAATGAAGATACATGTACCAAAGGACAAGAACAAAGCACAACTAGCAGCCATAGGCATCCTGGAGTGATGAGAAAATTAATATTTTTGCTTACTGGTTCAATCCAGAAGTTGAAAAAAACATGGAAAGATTCATGCACTGTCACAGGAAAAAAATTGGAGATTCCAAGTTGGAATAACATTGGAAAATACGCGAAAAGATAAGCCAATGTTGGTATATTATCATCTTTTTTCAAGGCTACCAATAATAATTATATCAATGCTATACCAATAGTTGGGAGATTTGACAAGGTTAATACCAAGACTGGTAGATTATTCGAATTTATAAACAAAATAATGAGTTCCCAATAAGATATCAATGGCATTTCAATTTTAGTGTACAACCCACACTTTAATATAGCAATATAGGTATTTTATTTGACAATACTTGGGATCCCGATACTGGTAGATCATTGGAGTTCCTGGACACATTTATCAATTAGATACCAATGATGTTTCTATTTCAATCAACAGTGAATACTTAGACCTGCTAATATATATAGGTATTTTACTAGACTGTTTATTGTTAGGAGGTCACACAAGTTAAACACCAACACTAGTAGTGTACCAACACTGGACAATAGTTATTAACAATGAAGTTCCTTTATACTAAAGAAAGTTTGCTTGGTGAGAGGAATAACAAGCTGAACTAGTAATATACCCTGGTTGAAGGATCTAACTCGGGGTAAACGTGCAAAACACTAAAGCTGTCACCGGAAATGGTATTCTCTGAAGAAGCTGTAATCACTTCATCACTCATCATCAGAATACCTGGCCCGCTTTTTATGAGATGCCATGCAACCATCGGGTAAACAGGACAATCCTCCCACTTGTCACAAGGGCAATGAACATTGTATTTTTCTATTTTTTGTTTTATACCAGATTAAAGTAAGAAAATAGGACATTCTTGCATTACGTTTCATGAGAATACTTGGCTATAAGACACACCCTAATTTTGGAACAGATCGAGGTTGATCAAGCAAAATTTCTTTGAAAAAATGCTGCGCCTTATAACCGAAAAAATTCAGTAATTATCTTTTTGGCTAGGAACAGTAATCTCAGAATATAGCTCAGAACTGAATTCTGAGAAAGAAAGTGATGTACTCTCAGACAGTGATGATAGTAGTTCTGAAAGGAAGAGATCTAGGTGCATCACAGGTGCCACAGCAAAAAGTTCCAAGAAAACAAAAATGGAGAAGTCAATTGAAACAGTGTGTCTGAGTCTCTGTGAATCCTCAGAAGCTGAGATGAAGAGGTGAATACGGCTTTTTAGTTTCAAGGTTTTCAAAATGTATGTAGCAAGAATTAATTTGGAGACTATGTGCTAATTAATGATCTATAGACAAAATATTATTTTGGAAGATTGAAAAGAAGATGTTCTGACTGTTAAAAACAATCATAATGGCAGTAATTATGATCATGATGCTGGTGATGATGATGAAAAAAATGAAAATGATAATCATTGTTGTCATTGTTTAGACTCTTGTTGTATTAAGTTAGTTTTACTGTTTTCTGGCACCCCTCAGAAGAATGGAAGATAAAAGGTATGAGAGAGAGTTAAAATTTAGACTTGAAATTAGAAGAAAGAAAGAGAGCATGAATTGCGTGTCCTTTGAATGATGATGCAAATGAGAGGCTGTAACTCTAAATGGACAACTCCAGGTAGCAGGAATCTGAATATTCTTTTGATAGACAAACTCACTACCCTTTGTAAACTTGAGTCCAAACTCCAGGGGAAGAAAGATAACATCTCGAGAGGGGGGAAGTAAAGTAACCATTGTTAAATGAAGTTATCATTGAAGCACGTCAACCTGTGAATTAGCTCGTTAGTGGGAGATGGCCAGTCACCAGACGCATTAGTGAACAGCTTTGTCAGTGCTGATTGCCCTTGCATCCTACTCACCACTTAAGAGCCTGTTCACAAGCAACAAAAACAAGAATAATTGTTGTTTTTATTATATATTTTTTTCATTCAGCATTTACTTGTTGAGTCACCTGAGAACAACCAAAGAGCTATTTATGCTTTTGAAATTAGGCGCATTGATGGTTGTAAATAAAACAAACAAGCATTATGAGTATCTTGCAAAACTCAGCTAGACAGGTTCTGTTTCTGTAATATTTCATTACCTCATGAAATAAGTATAACCCAATGCTTTTTTTGTGGTGACCATCATTGGCAACATTTATTTGGGTCTCTTCCAACATAGCAACGTAAAGAAATGTAACTGATCTCCACGTAAAAAAAAACAACAACAACAACAACAACAGCTCAGCTGTTGTTTAGTCTTAACACAACATTTCATTTATGGTGACCATCATTGGCAACATTTACCAATATTTGGGTCTCTTCTAACATAGCAACATGAAGATATGTCACTGATGTCCAGTTAAATAAAAACAACAACAGTTAGCTGTTGTTTACTTAATTCTTGAAAGTGCAATGACAATAGCTGGAGGTCTACTCCAGTTCCAAGTTTTGGCCTTCCGGTGACATAAAAAAGCAGCAAGAGTGTAGCTTGCATCACATCCAGGCAGTTCGTCAACCTGAATTACTTCCTCCTCAGGCTGTTCGAAACCTTTTTGCAACCAGTCTACAAAATATGGCTCCTTTCTCATCTCACAGATGTTATGAATCACACAAGCAGCTGCTACTACCTCGAATGCTCCATCAACCTCCATATCCAGGCCCTTAGAGAATCTTGGAAACCTTCCTTTCCAGCGTCCGAAGGTATTCTCAACTGTCATCCTGGCTCTACTGAGACGATAATTAAAACGTCTCTGGACCCTAGGGGTATTAACATTCTCTGGGTAACCTTTAAGTAGCCAATTTAACATGGGGTAGACTGGATTTGCCAAGAAAACAGGATGAATTTCCTGCCCCAAAATGTCCTCTTTCACATCTGGTGGAAATAACCTTCCACTACACCCAAGAGCGTACAGTTGTGAGTTAGAAAAGACCCTTGCATCATGTACACTTCCTGGCCACCCTACAACAATATCACAGAATAGGTAATTACTGTCCACAAGAACTTGCATCACAATGCTGTGGTATGATTTTCTGTTGACGAAACTTGCATGATTTTGCTGTGGTGTTGAAATTGTGGTTCAATTTTGTCCCTTTGGTTTCTGAGTAATATTTCAACAGGATAGACTTGAACCACAGCAAGCACAGTACATAATAATCTACAGTTTTTTTAAGACAAAACTATCCCCTTTTTTTCTTAAATTGTTACGAAAATTCTTTCCCTCTTCTCATCAAGTGAAATGTTGTCTCAAGGATACATATCTTATAATTGACAACACTAAAGGGAGAGTTCTAGCCTGGTAAACATTTTCACAGTCAAAGCTACATGTATAGAACACCACAAAAAGTGGACTCTTGTGGGGAATTTTGTTTTTAACAGGCAGAACGAAGACTTGCCATAAGAGCCAAAAAAGTGTAAGGAGGTAGCAATGATGATGACTCAAGCAATACAACAGGTAACTGCTTTAACTGTTGCTACAGTTTTCAAAGTCGTATTTAGATTGTGTCACTAGAAGTAACTGGAAATTAGGGGAGTGTGGCCGATACATCACTGCATCATCAATCACATGACTAGACAAGGTTTAATCTTGAAACCATGGCAGAAAATACATACCAGTCCCTGGCCAATAAAAAGCCCCTGAAAAATCTGCAGAGCAACTATATGTACGTCCATTACAGAGAAAAGTATCATGACGGATCATAGATACAGTAAGAACTGTGCCCTTCAGATGAAATATACACTTTACTTTGACTTTTAACAGTTCATTAGTCAGGCCTATTTTTGCACAAAGCAAAACCTGAGCCTAAGTGTTTTACTGCATTGAAAATGACATGTCACTACGTTCAACTGTGGCTGCTGTCTACAACTTTAGCTTTTGAGAAAAAAACTATTCTGCACGCTTGTTAACTTTATCTCTTTAGGCTTTGCCATGTTTTTTATCATTGGAGTTGTACATTGCTGCACACATCCGTATTGAAAATGTCTATTGAACCACCATATTAAGGATCATTTGCTCTATACATTTATCTTGCTTAATTGAAATGATTTGTTTCATTTTCCTTGAGAAGCTCCATATAGGAAGAGGATTATTTATTATTTATCTAGTTCTATATTTTTTTGAGATGAACCAAATCTTGGTCCACTTGAAGAAGTTGGAAGCAAACAGCAGAGTTCATGCTTAGAGGACATCAGCACGCAAAGTGCAGTTGTTGTCATTCTTGAATTCCTTGGTGTAAATTCAATGACACATATTGAAGTAACAAAAGAATTGCAGCCACTTGCAAAGAAACTTAACATCAAACACCGGTCTTTAAAGAAATAGCAGTTAGCTGTTAAAATAGCAGAGGAACTAATAAGTTAAGGATATGTTTCTATTCTTTCATCGCTGGTAATATTTATCCGCTGCAGCATAGCTTTGTTAAGGGGTGTTCAACTATCACTTTTGGACACTGTGCATTGGATAACAAGCGCATTGACCGGGGTACTCAAACTGATGTCGTTTTTTTTAGATTTCTCCAAGGCATTTGACTCAGTCTTGCACCCCCACTTGATCAGCAAGTTAGATCAAATTGGAATTAAAGGCCCTCTTCTGCAGTGGTTCACAAGTTATCTGCATAACAGGGTGCAGTGTGTGGTAATCGATGGCAAAAACTCTGAGTGGTTACCGGTCACCTCGGAAGTCCCGCAGGGCTCCCTGCTTGGTCCTGCTCTGTTTGTGTTATTCATCAATGACATGCCTTGTGCTGTGTCTCAGTGTAGCACATTGGCATTGTTTGCCGACGATGCCAAATGCTTCCGCACTATTAGACCTGCCAGTGATTGTGTGCTGTTTCAAGGTGATATTGATAACCTGGTTGACTGGAGTGATGTTTGGAAGATGGCTTTTAACATGGATAAATGCTCGCTTTGCATGATAACAAGGAAGTGCAATCCAATAATTTATGATTACAATATGAGAGGAAAGGCACTTAAGAGAGTGGAGGCTCAGCGTGACCTTGGCGTTCTCATCATTTGTGATGCTCGATTCAATGAGCACATCTACGCCCAGGTGAACAAAGCTAATAAGATGTTAGGTTTTATCCGTTGTTCACTCAGCAGCAGGAGCGATCAGTCTCTGCCAACTTTTAGATCTCTCTACGTGGCTCTTGTGCGTTGCATTTGGAGTATGCCTCTGAAATCTGGAGTCCAAAGTCTGTCACCTTAATAAAGGTTATTGAGGGTGTCGAATGACATGCTACACGGCTTCTCCAACCTAATTTAACTTACAATGAACGCCTTCAGCGGCTCAATCTTCTCCCATTGGTGTACCAAAGAGAAGTTAAAGACATAACAACATTTTATAAACTGAAGTGTGATTACTATAACTATTCAGTTGACAGATATTTTGACTTTTGCTCAGACAAAAGATTAAGGTCATATTCTAGTAGATAGATAGATAGATTTAATTCAAATCATATGGCAGCCCTCCAAGGCTGAATTGCATGAATTTACAAATACAATTGATACAAAACTTAAAAATATGAAAATGTACTAATTTAAAAAAAAAATCTACACAATTATACTTTAGAATTCTAATTTATAAAAATTATAGTTTAGATGAATTAAACTTTATACAAAATCTGCTAACGCCTGCACATAGATGGCAGAAATGTGCTAGAAAAACACGCTTGGTACGCATGACTGGATTTGCAAAGTGGCGTTGTCTTCTGAGGTTATAATGACAACAGTTCTTGGGAGGGAGAAAATGATGCAACTTATGATCTGGATTAGATACAATAGAATCAAACAGTTTTTCACATTGATCTATGCGTCTGTCCTCTACAGATGCCATGTTGAACATTGACAGGCTGTCATCGTAAGAAAGGCCTGGCGAAATAATTGATAGTGCACGTTTTTGAATGCATTTAATATCCTTATTTAAATAGTCAGGCAGTGCGTGATGGTACAGGGGGGCACAATATTCTAGAACTGGCCTTATACAAGTAAGATAGAAACAAATGATATCATGTGCTGGACTATTTGCACGCTTAAGTAATATAAGAAAGTATATTCTCTTGTTGGCCTTTTGGATTACATCTAACACGTGACAATTCCACTGGAGCGTGTTGGTTATGGTAACTCCTAGCAATTTAACACTATCTACGCGTTCGGGTTCTTGAGAGTTCACAGCAACTGCGTCAAAATGATGTTTAACCTTCTTAAAGTCAATAACGAGATCCTTGCATTTATCCGCATTCAGCTGCAGCTTCTTGATTGTAGACCACTGCTCAACAGCGTTAACAGCGACCTGCATTCCACTTTGACCTCCTCTTGGAACCACCTCAGGGAGCGTGGTGTCATCCACCTATTTCCATACGTCATTGATCATCAAAATGAAAAGCCAAGGGCCAAGTTTTGTGCCCTGGGGCACCCCTGATGGAAAGGTGCCCCATTCGGAGAAGCAATCGCTAGATAGCTTCACTCGCTGGTGCCTATCCATGAGGAAGTTGCAAACCCAACGGGCAATTCCGCGAGGAATGCGCAAACCCAGGATTTTGGCAGCTAGGATACCATGATCTTCCAGGTTGAAGGCCTTTCTGTAATCCAAGTACACCACGCGCACCGCTGATCTAGTCCCATCCGTTGTAGCGCCCACATATACATCACTGAAATGAGGGCATGTAGGGTTGAAGAATTGGGGACAGCTCCAAATTGGTTAGAATCAATCGTCTCCAAGACTGCGGGACCAATATATTTGCTAACCACAAAGTCCTCAGCTAACTTGGACAAAGCCATTGTGTCATGGAGATAGGTCGAATATGCTTGGCGATGGTAGTCACCAGCTTAACTTTCATCAGAGGTGTGACATCGGCATCCTTCCAGGACCTTGGGAGTTTCTGCTCAGCGAATGATGCATTCAGAATGTCGCAGACCGGAGAAGTTAAGACGTCAGCATAGTCCCGAAGAAGCCAGTTGTTATTGCCATCTGGTCCCCCGGCCTTCCTCGGATTTAGCCCCAAAAGAGCATTACATACCTCCGAGGGGCTAACTATTAGAAGCTCAGAGTCGTCCACAAGTGGGGGGAGACACGAAAGCGGCGTATAATCCTGCATCGGTTCAAGAAGAGCCGAGTTGATCGTGTTTGCAACGTCAAGATTAGAGTGCGCCGCGATCCCGGCGGTCTGTTGTAGTTTTAGGGTGGACTAGCTCGGTTTGTGTGTTCCCTTCTAGTCCTTCCCCAAGGCAATAATTTTTTTTTCTCTTATGTAATGTAGCTAAGTTTTGTTTTTTTCTTTTTCTTTATATATATATATATATATATATATATATATATATGTATATGTTCTGTGTGTGATACCTATGTTTGAACTAATGCAGTGAAAATGGAATAAATTAAATTGAGTCTTCTTTTTGATGACCAGGTATCGGCAAACTGTTATTCACCTCAAGGAAAAGACTAAAATTCTGCAGAGTAACAGTTCTCTCATCAAAAGCAAAACTGAGAGCACACCTAGCCCCAAGAGTGAGGATGCTACTTTTTATATATCTGTTTGATGATATTTCACGGTTATTTTCATTACTTGATGAAACTGCATTATAGTGTGTGACTCACATAGAATACATGTAGGGTCAGCAACTTCAAGCTGCAGTAAAATATACTGCCCAGCTGAAAAAAACCCAGCCATTAGCATGTTGAATTAACTTTTTTCACCTAAAGCTGTCGGTGGCTATCTATTGTGTTTCAAGGAAAAGGAACAGTTTATTTAGCATTGATTTACTGTCGGTTGTGTTTTGATGTTAGAGTAACAAGCAAAGAAGTGCAATGCTTGCTTTGTAGGATGTGTCAAGATATTAGTAGAGAGTTGTCGCATTCATATTGAGAACAGGAACTTGATTATATTGTATTAAATGTATATAAATATTCATTGTTATGGACAATGGTAATGAAATGGGATGTTGCTTTTTTAAGTTGATATCGGTTATCACTATCTGATTTAAATATTTATTTCTAGTTTGTTTATAAACTAAGTGTTGCTGAGAATGGTTTAGTTTTCATAAATGGCATGAAAATGTCACCAAGATTGTTGGCTAGTTTCCAGCGAAAAATTTGGGTTATGAGTTTGCCTTAAGTGCCACTGTCTGAGAAAACCGGGCAGAGGTCAGGGATTGAGGTCAACCAATTCCTTTCATCTTTTGGCTGCTTTCAACCCTCACGGAGACAGAAGGAATGGCAGTGTTCTTAAACTTCATCAGCTTTTAGTTTCCGAGATCAGACCTCCCCCCTTAAAATCCAGCCGACAGCAACTGAAAATACGTGTGATTTAGATACTTAACTCCCGCAACGCCTAGAATTTTTTCTTGCGCTGCAAATACCTATAACTTCAGGATATTATTATTTTAATAGACCTGCTATCATTCTAGGTCATCAACAGCCACTTACAACCATTTATCAATCTCTCAAAGGAAAAATAATTCGCACATAGAAAAATTTTGATTTATTATTTGCTTGATAAACCACTTTTTCAAAAATCGTTTTCTCAAAAAGACGGAAGTTTACGAGGATATGAAATACCTCTTTGTACTCATTATTACAATTACTATACATGTAAAAAAACTGAAGTTTGGGACCTGGTAAATTAGAAGCTCTGTTAACGAAAGTTAAAAGTCCATTTCATTGCCAATATCGGATGAAAGGTCATGTCACGGGTAGTTTGCAACACATTCCAAATTGACTGAGACTTAAATAAATCTTTCTGAGAAATTCAATATATTACAAAATACAAAATTCAGCTTCTTATTAAAAAGAAAGTTTATAAAATAAGGCTATCTGTCAAACATCAGCATTCTTTCTTTTAAAAACTGTTTCCATTTTGTTTACATTTGCTGATGGCACAACGCCACTAATACAGTCTGCAGAGTCGTCGGCCATCAGAAAAAAATAATCGGTAAAAAAACGTCTTTCGGGAATTTTCCTTATAAATTTGGCTATTAGAATTACAGCTGAATTCAACCGACAAAAAACTTTGATATTTTAATTTTCATAGGGCTCTTTCAAAGAAACTTGAATAAGTTTTCTTTAGTTTTTTTCGGATTTCACCTGTCAGTCATCCTAATTACAAAATACTCACGCTTTGGAACATGTTCATCACTTCTCTGTCGATGTTAGAAACCACAGCATCTTCTAACTGAGTTGCTCCTTTTTTTCCGATGATTCACATTGTGGACCTGCAACAGGAAAAGATGATATTAATAATAATAATAATAATAATAATATAGATTCCTATTAAGCGCATTTCTATCCTCAATGCGCTTTACATTACGAAAGCTGATTGAAAATCATTA